AGTCCACAGTAAGCTACATTTAAAAAAAAAAAAGAATTCTAACAGAAACATGTTTAACAACAAGTATCATAGTTGCATATCAAAAGCACCAAAACTACATAATAAGAATAAAACAAAATGGAAAATACTATGACGATATTAGTCTTTGTACTAAACAAAATCTAGCAAACGATCATATTCACAGTTAACTACATTATCAGTCCTAAAGCATAAAAACCTGACATCACAGCTAGACTCTGGATGACTCTCTTCACCAATGGCATTACTATGTTAGGAGCTGAGTCACCACAATCTTCAAACAATAAACTGCCCTCAGACTCATTGAGGACATTACTAATTCCACATTTTGACAGAGATTGCACTACTGCCTCTTGTTTTACATTATTCCATTACATTTTAATCCACCCACCTATGTGTGAAGTAAGAGTGTCACTTTGAAATTGTAAGCCTACATCCACCTGTGCCACTCCTCATCCTAAGCTCCGTAAGTGATGTATTGATAGAGGAATATATGTGACAGTTGGGCCTCCTGAAATCAGAGCTTGTGGACTCTCCTATGGGCCAATTCTCCCTAGGAGAAGTGTAACGGGGTCGTATCAGAAGAACTGAGAACAGCCAGGTTTCCTTAACAGGCCTTATATGTTGCTTATTAATAATGTCATGGCTTTCTTATCATATGACCTTTTGGTTGTATCACATAAGTGTTCTCCACTCTTCCTGTCATCACTCCTTTACATTTTTCCTATAGAGACTATATCTGCTGCCCTCGTTTTCTTCAAGTCCTTATTTTCTCAGTTGTTGGTAGGCCAGGATAATGTCCCATAGTGGTATTTAAAAGTCTATAAAATTAAGCTTTTAATGGTATAGCAATGTCTCCGCTGCTTTTGACTCACTGGTTACAGCAGAAAGAAATTTAAGCTGAAAATGAAGGGAGAAAATGCAAATTCTTCATCTGATTGCCTGTGAGATCCATGCCTTGTTACTTTTGGTATTTCTGGATGTGAAATTGCTAACTATTTTGTGCTATCTGTTGCCATGCTCTGCGGCTGAGAAGCCGCAGCTTTACTGCTCTCTGGTTGCTTGAGTCAGTTATAACACATGCAAATCATCTTTTTCTTTTGTCTCTGTGAATGCTATTTACTGCATCTTTGTTGTCTATTGTATTAATTTGGATTCTGAAACAATCACAAAGTTACACAAAAAGTCCCAAGTGCAGTACAAATAATTATTTTCCTGAACTATTTGAAAGTTAATTTGCAAATAAGATGTCCCAACGCCCTGAGAATACTTTAAATATTTCCTACAAGGATATTCTCTTATACAACTACAAAAGAACCATCAAAATGAGGAAGTTAACATGGATACTTCACCAGTGTCTAATCCTAGACCCCATGTGAGTTTCACCAGTGTCCCAATAAAGTCCTTTACAGTCAAAGGACCCAGTTCAGAACCTTGTATTTAATTGTCATGTCTGCATAGTCTCCTTCAAGTTGGAACTCTTTTCTTGATCCTGATACTTTTGAAGATTACGGGCCAGTTATATTTTAGAATGTTCCTCAATTTTGTTTTGTCTAAGGTTTCCTGACTATTGGATTCAGATCGTGAAGTTCTGGCTGAGTAATAGAGAAGTGATGCTATGTTCTCATACCCTCTATCAGGCGGCCCAGAATTGAGATTTGTCCTATTACTGATAATGTTCACTTTGATCAGCTGCCAGGTTTTCCCACTATTAGGTTATTTTCTTTCACTCTGTAATTGTTACGTATGGTGGGGCAGATACTCTCAAACTATGTACAGTCGGTAGTCGGTTCTAGTTCTGTTAGCAGGCAGTAAGTAGTTACATTCTACAAAGTGTCACCAACACACTTTGCAATTGAACACTGAGCAATTGCTCCTAGGGAAAATACCAGGTTAGGTTCCTGTGAGGTCCTGGTCACAATATTTTTGTCGACTCATTAATACATAACCTTGTTGTATGTGTGTTTCTGTTTAAACACAACTTACATATACTGTTGATTCATGAACACTGAACTCATGGCCAACAGCACATCACTCATGCCTGAACAAAGCTTACATAACATGTATTCTCTCCAGAAGGCACGTCACGGCCTTCCTGCACTCAGGAGCAATAGCCAGCACTTCAGTACTATGCTTGGGGGCCACACTAAACAGCAAATCCTCAACAAACTGCATAAAACGTTGAAAAACATGGCATGAAACAGACTGCAAAAAGGACACTGGCTCTCAGTGTGAGCGCTGAAATGAGAAGGCAGAGCGCCACCTGTTTGACCTCAGCTGGTGATATGCTGGGCAACTCAAATTTTTCACTGCTAAGCATGCCCAAGAATGACTGTGAAAATGCCAGTATTGGAGTTGAGTCACAAATGAATTTTAGTGAGTAGGAAAATTTGCAAATAAGGAATCTGAGAATGATGTGGACTGACTGCAAATATTATGTTTCTGAATTACACAATTTATTAATTATGTATATCGGTATAAACTTGTGGATTCCTATTTTATTCAGCTGGTTACAATCTGTTAGTATCAATATTTATTTTGATGCTCAAATTGTCCCAGATTTGGCCAATGGGAGCCCTTTAAGCCAGCTTCCCCTTTCTTCTTTGAACATTTCCTTACTTTTTGGCACAAGATGCTCCTTTTAGTAATGGAGAGCATTTAGAGACCAAGATCTGGAAATCAGCTGTGCTCACTCGAAACTAGGTGCACTCACTGCTATAAACACAAACACACACACACACACACACACACACACTCTATATTTACAGTTGTCCCTCAGTATCCAAAGGAGATTGGTTCCAGGACTCCCAAAGATACCAAAACCCATGGATGCTCAAGTCCCTCATATAAAATAGTGTAGTATTTGCATATAACCTATGCACATCCTCCTGTATACTTTAAATCACTTCTAGATTACTTTTTTTTTGAGATGGAGTTTCACTCTTATCACCCAGGTTGGAGTGCAATGGCATGATCTCTGCTCATTGCAACCTCCGCCTCCTGAGTTCAAGTGATTCTCCTGCCTCAGCCTCCCGAGTAGCTGGGATTACAGGCACCTGCCACCACGCCCAGCTAATTTTGGTATTTTTAGTAGAGACAGGGTTTCACCATCTTGGCCAGGCTGGTCTCGAACTCTTGATCTCAGGTAATCCACCCACCTTGGCCTCCCAAAATGCTGTCATTGCAGGTGTGAGCCATCGCGCCTGGCCTCTAGATTACTTACTGATATCTAATACACTGTAAGTACTATAACTAGTTGTTATACTGTATTGTTTAGGGAGTAATGACCAGAAAAAAAATCTGTACATGTTCAGTACAGATGCAACAACCACTCACTGTTTTTTCTGAGTATTTTCCATCTGCAGTTGGTTGAATATGAAGAATGCAGAATCTGAGGATATGGAGGGCTGACTGTGTTGTTATTCATTACATTTACACTTATTTCTACAACTACCTAAACGTTGGAAACTATGAGTTCACACCAATATCTCCTATTCCAAAACACCACAATGCTCACAGTAATTTTCTCCTTTTTCAACATTTGTAATTGACTTCTAAGATAACAAAAAAACCTAGCACCCATTATCATTAATATATCTGCCAAATAGATTAACTCCCCATAAGTAACTGGCCTTTTCTTGCTGTCTCCTCTTCTGCATATACCCCCAACCCACCCCTAGAGGATGTACAGCTCTGACATCCTGTACCAGATCTGCCCTTGGTGGCAATGAACGCCCTTTTCGTCACATTCTGACTTCAACAGCCTGCACCACGTCTCTGCCTCCTGCATGTGAATGAGTGACCTTCTCACCCTGCTCTGGACCGCTGTGGCTCCCTGCCTCCTGTACGTGGACACCTACAATGCTCTGCGCCACCTAATGTCTTTTGGACTCAATTGCTTCAGAAGGGTTGAACAACAAGGGGAAGGGCCACGCAAGCAATTTCAACAGTTGATTTTTCTATTAAAATCTCCTTAGTATTCTTAGGTGTATTTTTAAAAATAAAGATCATATAGGCAATTTAGATCCTGGAGTTTGGCCAATAATTTTAGAACTGTGAGAAATCAGTATGCAGCAGAAGTATCATGTAAATGTCCTTTGACCTGCAAGTAAGTCTGTTACTTTATATCCTTGATAATTTTCCTTAAGTAGTTAATTCTACTTGTTTCCAGTGTTCATTGCTTTACATGATCAGTCACACAGTTTCTGTGCTCAGTGGAGTCCTGCTCTAGCAGCTGACTGTAATGCATTTGCAGTCTCCTTCTGGCCTTGCATTTGTAATACTGGAGCCTGGGTAGCTTTTGGCAGGGTGGTGGGAACGTGTGTGTGGGAATCGGCTTTGTTAGGATTGTAGGTACACAGAAAATTTTACGGCTTCTAAAATTTTTCTGTGAAGTTATGTTATGTTTCTAGTATGTACGTATGTATGTATGTATAAATAGGCAAATAAGGTTCCTGATTGTAAATAAGATCTTACTTTCTCTTTCCTAGGAAGAAGGCAGTTCAGATTATTTTATTTTCTTCATGCCATCAGAAATACGTCACCTTTCCTCTATATTTACATTAATATCTGTAAAGAGTGATCGTTGCTACTCTTTTTCTTTCAGAGGCTCTAGAACACAGATTGCACACATGGCCACACTTCTTATGCTCACACCCATTACTGCATCTAGACAGAAGCAGAGCTGGAAGAGGAAACACTGAACTAGACCATAAGCTGCTGGGAAGCAAGCACCATGCCGACTGACCGTCATGGCTCCATCTCCAGGCTCATGAATGAATGGGTAGATAAATAAATATGATATTGGCAAAGTGGCTTAGACATGCTATGATTTCCATCCCTCTCTATTTACAGATAGCATTCCAGTTACTTTATTTCCATTAAAAAATCCAAAACCCTTAATATGAAATCAGACTATTTCCATGAGAAACGGTGAACAGGCTAGTCACCAACTATTTTAGGAATAAAAGATAACACACTACCTCTGCACTCGGTACACTCGAGTCCATGGAGGCACGAGGGCTAGGATCCGAGCCACCAATTCGACCAGGTCACTAGGAGAGTAACTCTTATATCTTCCTGATTTCCAAAGCTCATAAAGCCCGGTCCCACGAATCACCAGGGTAGGATAGAGTTTCAGACCATCGGGACGAAAAGCAGGGTTCTCAAAAAACTCCTGTGAATAGAGAACAGAAAATGACTTCTCCATTAGTTATGCAGAGATTACCCAGTGTGAAATCTCAACCCTTGGACAGCTTCTCTGGCACACCCTGTAGGTCCTGGGGCAGCCTTTGCTTCTGACCAGGTAGGGCATAAGACAGAACAGAAACTCCTTGTTTCTGTAGCCTCACTGGGGCAAAGCAAGTGTGTGCTGGACTGCACCAGGCCCTCACCATTCCAGCCTGTCTCCTGCACAATCTCATCTCATGCCACCCCTCACCATCTTGCCTTTCCAGTCCTGCAAAGGCAATTTCCTTTGCCTGGAAAATTCATCAATTTTTCTTTATCTAGCGAATCTTCAGGTCTCAGTTTGAACACCACTTCTTCAGAGAGGCCCTTCTGACCTTCAAATACTAGCTGTCCCACTTAAAAAAAAAAAAAAATCCCATTGAACCCAGTATTACCTCTTTCTTATCACCACATGACAATCTATTCAATGTCTGCCTTCACTTCTAGAGTATATCTTCCTTTAATAATGGAATATACTTAATTGTTTAAACATTTCAAAAGTTGTGACAGAGATCATCTGGCTTACAAAATTTAAAATATTTACTATAGGGTCCTTTAGAGGAAAAGTTTGCTGATCCCTCAATATGACTACTTTGTCCCTAAGCCAACTGGCACCATTCCTATCCTGAGCTACACATCGTCCATTTGTTATCCGGACACTGAGCAATACATCTAACTCATCTACTTTTGCCACAGTCATTTCTTATATTGTATCACCCCAGCTGGCTGCTTTCTTTCTTTATTTTGGGATGTAGCAATGAGACACCAGGCATTCTCCTTTCCATGACTTGGCAATGATAATTTGTTCTAATCTTGTTTTGCATAATATATTGTGGAGAAATGAAAGTGGGCTCAACACAGTCCCCTCTCACTCCCACCTTGGCAGGAGTATCTACTCAGCTGGCAGGGCTCTATCTTGTAAACTGGAAAAAATCCTTTTTATCTTTGCCACATCATTCTTACAAAGCTCTTCATTGTTAAACTTGCTTTACAAAGAAATGTAACGATAGACCTTTCCATCTCTCATTGACATCTATCATGTTCTTAAATGCTGTATTCTTTATGTACTATTCAGTTTCAGAGATCATCTTCTGTAATTGTGTGATTTTCCTATAATATTTGTATTTTAAAGAATCATCGGGTCTTTAATAAATATTCTGCAGCCTTTCCACAAAGAGCACATATGGAAGCCATTGTCCACCCAGTCTGAATCCACATTTGAACATGGGATTTAGAAAGGTACTTCTGGTGCTTGTATAATAAGTTTTGGAGACATATGGACTGATACATTCCTTTGGAAAGAATGAAAATTGATTGGTTCTCAATTTTTGGTTACACTAGAGAATTAAAACAAGTGTTTCTTTTCTTTCCCTCCAAAACCACACTAAAGTAACAGGGGCCAGGCGCGGTGGCTCACACCTGTAATCCCAGCACTTTGGGAGGCTGGGGCAGGCGAATCACCTCAGGTCAGGAGTTTGAGACCAGCCTGGCCAACATGGTGAAACCCCGTCTGTACCAAAAATACAAAAATTAGCTGGATGTGGTGGTGCGTGCCTATAATCCCAGCTATTCAGGAGGCTGAGGCACAAGAATTGCTTGAACACAGGAGGCGGAGGTTGCAGTGAGCCAAGATCTCGCCACTGCACTCCAGCCTGGGCGACACAGCGAGACTCCGTCTCAAAAGAAAAAAAAAGAAAAGGAACAGGAAAGAATTTTTTAAAAAGTATAAACCCAGAATAACAAAGAGGACTAGAAAGGAGGCAAGGATGAGACCCAAGATGGCAACAAATTCTTCAAAGAGAGAAACTAGGAAGGCTTGTGAATGACTTTGCAAGTAAACAGCAAAAGGAGACAGAAACGAAAGCCCTGCTCAATTGCACTGCCGAGTCTCAGAAAGGCTCACGGATCAGAGGTACCAAGAACTGGGCAGGACAGAGGAGAGACATGGAAATAAAAACAGGGGTACTGGATCAAGTGTGTACATAGAGGGAATTATCTGTTAACCCTTAGCCTTTCCTGAACAGGGAGATGAGAACGTTTAGTCCCTGGAGAAACTGGAAAGCCTCCGGGCTCTGAGATTCCAAGTACAAAGGAAAGTCTAGATGAAGACCAAGGCTGAAAACAGGGAAAAGCCAGCACATAGACTGCTGGACTCTCCGCCCCACTCTCTGGATGTCAGCAACCAACTTCCTGAGATATACCCAGGCCATCCAGCCCAAAGCAGGAAGTTGGAGAGTTCATCTCTGGATGAATCAAATGGCTCTACATAAGAGTTCACCATACTGACATTTAGGAATAACCTAAAGAAAGGAGAGCTTATTGCTAAAAGAACGTTCTTCAGTGAAGCACGCCTGCAAGCTAGGCACACAGGCCTTGCCATCCAGTTTTTCAATCCCCTACTCTTAAAAGCATAAGAAATTGCTTTAGGCCAGGCGCAGTAGCTCATGCCTGTAATCCCAGCGCTTTGGGAGGCTCAGGCGGGTGGATAACGAGGTCAGGAGTTCGAGACCAGCCTGGTCAACATGGTGAAACCACGTCTCTACTAAAAATACAAAAAATTAGCCAGGTGTGATGGCAGTCACCTGTAATCCCAGCTACTTAGGAGGCTGAGGCAGGAGAATTGCTTGAATCCGGGAGGCAGAGGCTGCAGTGAGCTGATATTGCGCCATTGCACTCCAGCCAGGCGACAGTGCGAGACTCCGTCTCAAAAAAAAAAAAAAAAAAAGGGGGCATAAGAAATTGACTGAAGATCATCATAAACTTGGGGAAAGCCTAGGACATTAAGGGGCCAACCAAAACAAAAAGGAAAAAAGGAAACAGAGGCATTGCATAAAGAAAAATAAAATGTATAAAAAATATCTGTAATAAATTTCTTCAGAGATAAGATAAATTACAGCCACAATACAAGACCAAGGTGCTATAGAAAACTGAGAAACCAACTGTAGTTTTAAATTTCACTTCTTTGAAGATTAATTACTTTGAGAACTTTTTGACAGGTCTATTGGCTATTTGAATATTCTCTTTTGTGAAATGCTTGTTCAAGTTTTTTGCCCATTTTCCTACCGAGCTGTTTGTCTCTTATCAATTTCTAAAAATTATTTATTTTAAAACAATTTAATTTGTAGAGAATTCTTCTCTAGAAAGAACTCATATTTTTCATTTTAGCTCCCTTCTGTTACTCTTTACTAGGACTCAGTTCGAAAAGAAATATGATCCACTCATATTCCCTGTGTGTTTCCCTGCAAAGATTACAAACAAGCAAATAAATCTGTTTACAGGAAGGGTAGTCCTTGCAATATTATTACTGAACTATTCCTTATGTTGAAGACACCAAGGAAAATACATAGCAAGACTCAGCTGTTTGCTATGGCTTGCTACAGTATGAAACATACTATATTTTTCAGGAGCACTTACACTTTATCAGTTCTGGCTATCCTACTGGTCCACCTAGGAGCTGTGCTAAAGAAAAGTGTGTTTCACACTTGGACATAGGGCAGGGAACATCATACCCTGGGGCCTGTCATGGGATGGGGGGCAGGCAGAGGGATAGCATTAGGAGAAATACCTAATGTAAATGACAAGTTGATGGGTGCAGCACACCAACATGGCACATGTATACATATGTAACAAACCTACATGTTGTGCACATGTACCATAGAACTTAAAAGTATAATAATAATAATAATATGTGTTTCAGGTGCCTTTTTGGCCTGGAGTCTGAGCACCTGGCTATTAGTTACTGAGGGGAGGATACCAGACTCACAATCTATTACACAGCCAGTGTGGGGGAATTACGAAGAGGGATATCTGTGAATTAATGTTATCTCATAAACAGGTCCTCAGGTGCAGTTCACCAACTTAAAAAATAATAAAAGTAAACTTCTTGAGAGGAAAGAATTATTAACTTCACAAATAAGACATGGTGAACTGCATTTTTCTAAACAGAGCAAATTAAAAGTACTTTTATAGATGAAATAACTTGACAAATATTGTCATCGCCTTCAATAAAAGGATATCCCTAAAACACACTTGCCCTATCTGAGAATCTGAAGAAAAACTAAAGGCCTGACCAATCTCATTTCCCACAACAAAGTTAACATGGATCAAGAAACTGTGAGGGTTAAAATAACAACAATAAAACAACCTAGAGTGAAAATTCAAAGAACAGAAAGGCAGTTCTAAGCTTAGAAGCATTTGAAGAAAAAACAAAAAAAAAGATCGACTTAATGGAAGCACAACTAAAAGGTTAATAATAGGTTAAGTAAAATATTTAAAACAAATATAAAAAACAATGAGTCCATAATCTCCTTACCTAAAAAGTTCACATAAACTATTATTAAAAATATTCTTATCCCAATAGAGTAATGAGTCAGAGGATAAAAACACACAACTCCAAAAAGATGAAAGAAATGTAATTAGTAAATACAAACTTGAAAAATGTATTATCACAATTTCAAAATGCAAGTTAAAATGGCACTTTTCTCGATCAGACTAGCAAAGAGTAAAATATATGTACATATGTGTGTGTGCATGTATAAGCATACATAGAAAATAAACAGGAGAGAATTATTTGTGAAGAAAAACTGCTGAAATGAGTGTAAATTGTTATAACTCTCTGCAAAGCAACTTATTAATAGAGTGAGAGTCTTAAAATGTTTCTACCTTTACCTGATAATTCTACTCCATGGAATGTATCATAAACAGATAAACCTAAATACGACAAAAAATTATACACATAAACTCATTTACTTGCAGTGTTTTTTAAACAATATTAAAAAACCAGTAATACCTTATTCTGAAAAACTTGCAAGGGGTTAAGCAAGATATGGCATATTAAATTAAAAAGCCATTTAAATATGTTAACATGTTAACAGAGACCATGCTACAACATGGATAAACATTTGTTATAATGTTAAGTGAAAAAATTTTTACAATAATTTCCTATGTCATACATATTTGTATGTCTGTGTTATATTTGCAGAGACAACCTCACCCTCAAAAAAGCCTAAGCATAGAAAAACCTTGGAAAGAACCCATTAAAATGTTAAGAGTTTTGTCTGATGGGGCTGTGGGTGATGTCCCTTACCCTACTGTGTTTCCAGTATTCTATAATAAGGATGCATTTCTTTAACAATGGAAAACATCAGTAAACAGGCAACAAGAGCAGATGGGATAAGAAACATGCAGAGGCATTCTGAATGCGCCTGGCTGAAGCCACACTTACTGTGAACTGTTCAATGTCTCTTTCTAGTCCCACATTTGGCAGGTCAGGCATCATATGGGCCACCACTTTGAAACCGGAATCTTTGGCCAGGTGAAATGACTCACACACTGCCTTCACAGTGTGGCCCCTAAGGAAAGAAAATCACTACCTGTGAAAATCACTACCTATTTGTAAATGGGTGAAAAAGTTAACACAAGAAACAGGGGGAAAACAATCTCTGAGACAGGTAACAGAAATTCCATAACCAAAATCATATGGCTGGGGGAAAAGACACCTCAGAAAGTTATTTTTTACATCCCCACCTCTCAGGAGGCCTGGAAGTAAATAACTTTATTTCTGAGATATTTCTCAGAAATTCCCTTACGCATCTACTCAAAGTCTTGAAAGTAAAGCATTGGGGTAGCAAAAGTTAATGTGTATTAAAATTATTTGGTTTAGCATCACCCGTCAAAATAAGCTTATGAATGTAAGTATCTGTATTAAAAATTAAAAGCTCAAAACCATGCAGAAGCAGCAAGCTGCTATGTTCTTTCCTTTAAAGATCTTGTGAAATTATTTGTAGACAGAGAGGAAGACTGAAACCTATAATACAAAATAGATTTCACTGGTGGGTTTGGAGGAGCCTTAAAAAAACAGTAGAAAGAGAGAATGACTTAGTGAGAAGGCAGAGTCATTTGGGGTCACGTGGATAAATCATCTTAATTTAGCATTCTAGAGCCACATCCAGCAGGAAACAAGTCCTAATAATAGTTTTGGGCAACTAGACTGAAGCCTTGTGGCAATCCTTCTGCCACCAAGGTGTTCCCATTCACGGCAGAAGGATCCTAAAAACCACAGACTCCATCTCACTCTCTCAGAATGCTCCCATCCATTTCCATGACTTCAATTTCTAATCTCTTTTTGCTAATGACTTCCCAATTCCTAGGACAAGGCCAGGCCTGTCTCCTGAATTCCAAACCCAAATAACCAATACTTTAAAGCAGCACTATTTAAAATGACAGCTACTAGGCACATGTGGTTATTAAAATTTATATTTAGAAGAATTAAAATGGAAAACTTGGTTGCAAGCACAGAACATTTTGATCACTGCTGAATTGTCTATTGCCTAGTCCTGCTCTAAAGCAAACCTTCACTTGGCTATTCTACAGGTACCTGAAACTTAGTGTAGCCAAATGAAACCCATGTTCTCTCCAAGCCTCCTTGACTTCCCATTCTCTCTTATCCTCACTTCCAGTCAGTCACCAGCACCACCACTCACTTCTTTCCAGGACATTGGTATTTCCTGCTTAATTTCTGTAACAGCCTCGTACCCGATCTCCCTTCCAACTTGCTCTTCTCTGACCTGCCCCTTTCACTGTAACTAAGGCATCTTTCTAAGCCACAGATATGCTCCATCACATTGTAGCTTTAAGCCTGCTGGTGGCTTGCTCTGCTGGATTAATGTCCAGCCTCCCTGGGCTGACTCTTCAGGCCCCTAATAACCAGGCCCTCTGTTTGCTTTTCAGCCTTATCTCTTATCATTCTCCTATCTCACATTCTAACCAAACTAAGCCACTCCAAATTCCCCAAATGTGCCACACACTCCCATCTCCAGGAGTTTGTTCATATGTTCCTTCTGCCTCAATCTTCCTCTTCTGCACCTGACCAACTCAGATTCTTCCATGAAGTCTCAACTCAGATGTCGTATTCTTCAGAAAGCTTCACCTTCCCCTCCATCTGCCCAGGTGTCTCTCTAGCACAGCCCTTGAAGGCTACACCACTCCACAGTTTCCCTGGTTGAAGCCTTTTCCCACATAAAAGCATCCTATTCAGTTACTCTTTCTTAAACATGATATCCATGAGATTCTTCCCCATGCTAAAAAATATTCAACAGATCTCTATTCCTTAAGGGAAAATTCCATCCTCCTCGGCCTGGCATTCCTCTTGGTTGTTTCTAAGACACTGATCAGTGCTTGCCTCCCTAGTTCCCCTCTGCTTCCTTCTCCTGGCACAACACCAATCACATCTACTGAAACCCTACAGAATAAAGGGGCCTTTAACATCCAACTCAACACATCCTTCCTCCGAAGCCCACCGTTACAATTCTTAGTCAATCATCTCAGCTGCCTAATAAACTCTCAATTGTCTCCCCTACTCCACTAATTTAGCAATTAACTGTGAAGTTCCTTATACAGTTAACCTTTCACAGGCATTTTCTTTTCAACTAAAAGACATATTTCTAGAGGGAGCATAATAAAGCTCTAACAACTCTTACTTCCTTCTTTCCTTGCATTCCCGAATTTCTCAAAGTTTACAACCATGGCATCACCATACTTTTTGCTAGTTGGTATCTGCTCCACAGAAATGAATCTCTTCAACATTACTCACTCTTTTCTTTGTTCTTGGCCTTCTCTCCTGCTTTAAACTACTAACCCTGAGTCTTCTCCCCTGCTTTCTACATGGACAAGGCTGTGTAGGACAAGAAGAGGGAGAGAGATGAGCATGTTTACAGGCTGCTGGAAAAGAGTCACTAGAGAAAAACTGAAAATGAGGAAAGGAGGAGATGGAAGTAAGAGGATAGACAGACGAAAGAACTTCGAAAAGGAGGAATACCCATACTTCTTTCCCTAAGACTGGTCAGAATGAAGAAAGGCTGGGTATGAATGTAGAGAAAACTGGTGAAGCTGGAGGAAGGCTTGTGCAAGATCACCTGCCACCATCTTACCTGTTGGTGTCTCTAGCCACATCTTCATAAACACTCTGCACCCCAATCTCCAGCCTTGTGCAGCCATAGGTCAACATGTCACTTAAATGCCGCTTCATGCAGTAATCTGGTCTGGTCTCTATAGTAATTCCAATACACTTTGTGAGGCTTCTCTCAGAATACCTGTAGAGCAAATCTAAAATAATTAACCTGTTGCAGGTTTCAAGACATTACTCCCTCTCAAAAAAACTGCCTTCTCTCTGTCCTCCTAGCATGAGATAGTGGTAAAGAGTGTAGGCTCTGGAACCAGGCTGTCTAAGTTCAAATCCTGGCTCTGCTACTTCCTAACTATGCACATGAGGATGCTATTAACCTCTTTGTGCTTCGGTTCCTTTATCTGCAAAATGAGGATAATATACTATCTACACCTCATAGGATTGATGTGACTGAGCTAGCATAGTAATGTTATTATCATCATTATCATTATTATTCTCCTGCAGTAAGCTGCAACCATAATCTCCTTGAAAGCAGTGATTTTAACTGTGAAAACCTATTTTTCAATTCCTAGCAACCATTTTTCACATAAGTGAAAACCATCTGCATTATTTATTTCCCACTCTATATTTTTGAGTCATTTTAAATGAAAGAAAAAAAGGGGGGAGGGTATATGTAATGATTACAGGAATATTTTAGATGAAATGTCTTCTATATACACAAAAGTCTTTTCACCGAGTCTATTAATCTTAGCAATGATTTACAAAATTACCAATCACTTTTGTCTTTTACTAAAATCACGTATCAGAGTAGCAAGCACCACTTTAGATTCATGCTGTTTGAGTTAGTGGCCTTAATGCTGGCCAAAGAGGCAGAGAAGTAAGTCTCTTGCTAGCAGGGCTAGTGAAGTGAGGGGATAGGAGCTCACATTTACAGTCTTTTGTGGGCCAAGCTCTGTGCCACACACTCTAGTACTGAATCCTGAATCCTCCCACCAGCTCTATGAAGTGTGTCCTATTATCTCCATTTCACAAGTGGTGAAACTGAAGTTGAAAGGGAGTAAACAGCGCGTTCAAGGACACAGAGCTAATAAAATTGGAGTCAGGATCCGAAGTTGGGTCCACCTGACTTCAAAGTCCTTGCTCTGTATTCCAGTTACCACACTGTTTAGACAACTCAGCATGGACCCCAGACTTCTCTGCTTTTCAACATCTCTCAATTTTTTTTTTTTTTTTGATTCGGAGTTTCACTGTGTTGCCCAGGCTGGAGTACAGTGGCACGATCTTGGCTCACTGCAACCTCCACCTCCTGGGTTCAAGCATTTCTCGTACTTCAGCCTCCCAAGTAACTAGGATTACAGGCATGTGCCACCACACTCCGCTAATTTTTTTGTATTTTTAGTAGACACGGGGTTTCACTATGTTGGCCAGGCTGGTCTCGAACTCCTGACCTCAAGTGATCCGCCTGCCTCAGCCCCCCCAAAGTGCTGGGATTATGGGCATGAGCCACTGCGCCCGGCCAACATCTCTCAATTCTTAGAACCCAACCATTTTTCTTAATGCACCCTTCTACAATGTTCTCAATTTTGGGGGGAGGATGAGAGAAGCCTTAAAAAAAATTGCCATTTATTTTCCTTCTTTCTGAAGAAGTTCATTGCTCTTTATTGAAAAGTAAAAATCATAACATTTCTGTAATTTTTGTAACTAATTCTGTGAGGTTCACTGTTTTATTTTTAATTGTCAATAAAAACGGGCTTATTTATTGGTAATAATAACTAAGAAAGCTAAGAATCACCAATCTAGAGAACAAATTCTCAAGTCTTTCATTCTGGACATCTGAACTCTTTTGCATTGTTTATTTCTGTATTCCACGAGGTTTTAGGTAGGATTACCAGAGGCAACAGGACTAAAGGTAAACGAGTAGTTCAAAGTCACTAAAAGATGAAATATGAGACAGAAAAAAGGCTCAGACCTTATCAAATCTTGCCTAAGACAGGATTCAAACTAATTTGGCTTCTCTGAAACAATAGAATCATCAGGTCCTGTGCCTCTTAAACAGGTGGGTACTAAGGCACGCAGTAACAGGAGTACATGATGCCACAGAAGAGACGTAACGCACCTTTCTCTAGCATCAAGTATTGGGTTTGAGGGAAAACATTTTTCAAATAAAAATAAATATTCATATACTATGAAGAAGGCACACAATACAAAGGTTGGAAAAAGAAAAAAAAAACCAGAAAGCAAAAAGTTCTAAATGACTACGTTTTTAAAGGTAAATGAGAATATCCTAGAATGAGGCATTCCAATTGGTATTTTTTTAAAACTTGCAGTTATTTCTTAACAGTGATACCATTAAGTTAGCAAGCGTAGTGGCATAATAGTAGCTTACATCACTGGGAAAAACTAGAGGGCAGGCAATTACACAAATGGGAATCTGTGTAGAGGAAAGAGAAAATTTATTAGCTAGTCTTCCTATTGCACAGAATGTCAAAGGCCCCACCAAGGACATATAGAGGACACTGCTATACAAGGTCTCTTTATAAGTCATCAGAATATAGTACAGGCCATAGAAGGAAACCTTATTCTCAAATAATAATTTAACTCCATTTCAAAAATGTCTTTCCTCAGGCAGGAAATGTCATTACCTTTTGCAGTAACAGAAATAGAGGAAGAAAAAAACAACTCAGGTTTTGAAAAGTCAATATTTTATATTTATAAAAAGGCTTTCACTACATTTCCTCTTTCCAGAATTATAGTTTCATCCGAAAAGCAATTAAACAGAAATTTGTATCAAATTTGAATGACAAAACAATGAATTTTTCCCATAGGCTTACTGTTTTCTCATGAAAATTTTTGGATAATACTATATCTAAACCTACATCTCACTAAATCTAATTATTCATTTAACAGAGATGTAAACATATCAACATAACTATTCTTTAATATGCAAATATGCACATACAGGCTTTCAACCAATCTAAGCTGATATTTTATGGCCTGCTATTAATGTGATCCCCCTGTATCACCAAGGTAGCTATCCAACAGTATGTGCCATTTAGACAGCCATCCAAAAGCATGGCTCTCCTTCAGTACCCAGTGCAACTCCCATGCTCTTGGGGGCTACAAGTTCTTCCGCATGCAGCAACTCTGTCAACTTCTTGAGAGACAAAGCCAATACTCAAAAGGGATCCTCTGATTCCAATTCTACTGCTCTTTTTGTGGTATTACAGATTCATTTTAAGCCTGTACAGCCCAACAATATGGAGCTACGTTGAATCCTATGCTTTTCTGTATGCCATAGGAATGGCACCAGCGATAAAAGATGCTAATGTTCTCTGTGAAGCATAGCTTAAGCCAAAACCTTACGCTGACAGAATTTTTAAAAATTGTGGAGCAGGGGTGAAGAGAAATGGAACAATAACCCAGGAATTTAAAAGCAAACAAAAACCAAAAGCTACCAGCCTTCAAAACAGAGCTCCAATACATTTCTCCCCTGATGACATCTTCCCAGAACCCCTCCGCCCCCAGTGAGATCTCAGCGCTCCCATTCTCAAAGCGCCCTGCCCACACTACAAGTAGTCTGCCTTGTTATGTGTGGATATGTCTGTCTCTCCATCTGGACAGGAAGCCTCTGAAAGCTGGCAGTCTCAAACACGTCTAGAGGCTAAAAGGCTTCAACACTAAAAATTCTCTGTCAATTAAAAAAAAAATTACAAATTTGAAGAAGGAATAAATGAATTAGGCATAACTGGGAACACAGGAGGTCTCTCTTCACTCCAACAGCAGCCTCCAGATACATCTACAGTTCATCTTTCCTCTTGCAAAAAGTTAACCTTAGAAGGTCCCTAGCAGTAGGCCAGGTATTCTTCAGAAAGTAAAACTATAATAGTTCTTTTCCCAGACATGCTTAAGGATCTAGCTGGGGGGATAAGACTTACAGAAAAAAAAAAAAGAAAGAGAGAAACGACTACAGAACAAAAAGCTAGAAGTGGCAGAAATATAAATAGATTTAGATTGTTTCTTGGGAAGCATATTTCTATTTCTGGAAAGAAGAAAGCGACCTTTTGACAAAAGCACTATCTATCATCACCGTCTCCTTGCACTAAGGGCCCAACCAGGCGGACACTGATGGAAGGAAGATAGCACAGTGATTTTAAAGTCTCTTCATTATCTTCTGGAAACTATCTTTTGTTTCACTCCAAGAAGCTGTGTTATCAGACAGGGCACCTCTCATTACGAATAATTCGTGGCAGCTCCTCTTTCAAAACCTCTGTCCTTACTGCAACTGGATGTGCCTGAGTCTAGTCTTGCTTAAACTCTCACAAGAACTCAAGGCTCCAGTTCCTGAAAGGCTTACAGAACATTCCCTCTGTGGACATCCTGCAACCTCATAGTCAACCTGCTCAAACCAGACTGCACAGTAAAAAATGGTACAGAGATGAAATATTCATTTTCGTTAGTCACAACATATAATCTCTTCTCCATCTATGGTCCCAAAACAAGTCAGTGGAGTATACCCACTTCTTTGAACAGCCAGATTTGTTTGAATTGTTGATAACACCTCGAGTCATTGGTGTAACTCCTTGGCAGCAGCACCATGAACAAATTCCTCTTCTTAACTATCACCGTATCTTGAAAATATCTCAATAAAATTTGAAATTCTGCCCAATGCTCTGTTAGTGATACTCTAGACTTAAATGAGTTGTTTGATGTGCTTGAGGATTTAAAAATAACTATTCCGCCCAATCTTTTTCTGAGATGGTAGTCAAGTCTGCTTCCTCGATATTGGTGGTTTTGTCATGAGGTTCTACAAATTAACCACTGCCCAACACAAAATGAAGTAACAAAGAAAAGAACTTTGATTTAAAAATGAGTACTACCTATGAAAAACCAACCTGGTGGCACTGTAGCTTACAGACTAATCAAAGACCGTTGTGCCCTATCATATTAGCTGGCAGGGCTTAAGATATATAAAAACAACCTATAACATTTTGTTTGAGGTTTGATTCTGTTCATGGCTGACAAAAACTATCATTTTGTAGTCCCCTCGTCTAGCTAAAGAACGAGCAGCAACACATTATTAATAGAAAAGAAAAAAAGAATCACAGATATTATATTCTTTTAATATTATATCCACATTGAAATTTAAGGGTTATATACATAAAAACATAGAAAATGATTGTCAGAAAG